CCTCACTTTCTTGAAAGATTTCAATTTTTATTCCATCAATTCCTGGTCCCTTGTTCTTTGCCAATTCCTTCAATGCACCTTGGACTTCCCACTTCAGTATTACTGGCTCTTGATCATATGGTACCTCTTGAAACGGTTGAACATCAACCATTTCCTTTTGGTACAGTGACTCTGTGAATTCCTTCCATTTTCTTTTGATGCTTTCTGCATCATTCAGTAATTTGCTCAGAGAATCTCTCAATAACAAAAGTTGAGGCTTGAATTTTTTCTTCAGTTCCCCCAGCTTGAGAAATGCAGAGCGTGTTCTTTCTTTTTGCTTTTCTGAGCTTTACCCTCCCACTAAACCCCACAATCACTGACTGCAGGTGCCTTATTTAGAAATCTGTGGCTGCCTTTTCAACTCGGCTACGGGGGCTGCTGAGAGTCAGACCATAATGGCTTCCTTTTACCTGGGCAGATCCTGGGAATGGTCATCTGACTGCCCTGTGTTCTCACCTGGGTATGTCACTCTCCGCTTTTCCCTGGGAGGCCCTTGTTGTTAATGATAAGTGCCATTGAGTTGGTTCCGACTCTTAGCGACTCTGTGTAGGATTTCCAAAGAGTGGCTGGTGGGTTCGAACCGCCAGCCTTGCAATTCAAACCGACCTTGTGGTCCAGTGCTTTTCCTATAGCTGCACACCAGGACTCCTAATGACCCTGAATAGAGTTTCCAAGGAGTGGGTGGTGGGTTCGAACTGCTGACCTTGTGGTTGCAGTCCAGTGCTGATCCTACCAGGACTCCCACAGTCACGTGGTCTCTTTTCCAAGGAGTCATTGAAGGGATTGCTGCCATTTACTAAGTGCCCAGGACAGGGGTGGGGAGGCAGTGCATAGGGGATGACAGACCTTCCCTGGAACATTTTGTCCTGGGAGTGGTGTCCTCGGCTAGGAGCCTGGAAACCTTCAAATGGGGAAGAGGTGAATGTCTTCATGTTTCCTCACTCCAACCCTACAGGTGTGAGGAAGCTTGGGGAGGTAAGGCAGCAGGAGGTGGGGCAGGGTATGGGGTGTGCAAACAAGGTGGGTACAGGGGGCATGGCTGTGTGCATGGGGCAGTGATATTGGGTGAAAAGAGTAAGTGTGTGTGAAGGGATACCCCCTCTGTGTGGCACTGATGCCAATTCCAACTTGTAGGGTACAACCCAACAGGACAGTGAAACTTGCTCCACGGGGTTTCCAAGCTTAAATAGGGGATCAGACAGCATCTTGTTTCCCCCTCAGAGCAGCTGCTGGGCCAACCTGGCAATCAGCAGCCCACAGCTTAACCCGTTGTACCACCAGGGTAATTTGTATTAATTATTTTTTCAAGGAGACTACTTTACGAAAAATATACTTGCTTGTGTAAAAGCAAGAGCTAACACTGTAGTAAACCAGAAAGTTGCCCAGGTAGTCATTGCACGCCCCCTGTTGGTGCGGCCCCCGTCCTAGGTACTAGGAGCACAGTGGGGGCGCTAAGAGGGGAGACAACCAGAGAATGAAGTTAATGAAATAAAGAAACCCCAGTCAGACCTTTACCAGAGCCTTGTGGAAAGGGGTCATGGCAATACTGCCCACGAGGGGGCGCCGGGAGGAGCCTGGAACTCCTGCACAGAGGGTGTGTGTCTGGTGTGCTTTCTGTCTCTCCGGCTGTGCAGGCCCAGCTGCTGTCTCAGCTGCCCATCCCTGAAGCTCAGGTTATCACCATTAATCCCTCACTTCCCGTGGAGGAGGCAGCTGAGGACTATGCCAAAAAGCTGAGAGAGGTGAGTTCCCAGGGACCCTAGGGAGGTCCCACCCACACATTGGCCATGCACAGTGGGATGCAACCCAGTACTTGGGGGCTTACCACTACATGGAGTTCACCCACAGAAACTCCCCTGGGGTTTGTCCTTTTTAGATTTTCCCTCTACTCTTCCAGAGACCACACCTATGCCTTGGGGAGTCCAAAGGGAGGCTGATGACCTGAGAGCAGGTCTCGGTCCACTCCTTTGGCACAGTTGTGTCCACAGACCCGTGACTCCTGAGACAGGTGTAAAGCAGAACTTTGCAGGTTAGAGTATCTTTTATCACAGCTGAGACCGAGTGTCCTTTCCTTGGCTGTTCTTATTTATCTAGAACCGCTGTAACAGAAATACCACAAGTAGGTACCTTTAAGGAACAAAAAATGTGTATTCTCACAGTTCAAGGGGCGGGCTCCCTGAAGGGGAGAGCCTTGTCTCCTCAGCTTCTGTGCTTCGTGGCCTTGGAGATCTCCAGGTGGCACTTACCCTCCCCTTGTTTGTGCGGCCCTGTCTCTGGGCCTCATCTCTTTTATAGCTCAAAAGCGATTGGCTTAGGATAAACCCAACACTGAGATGGCTTCATTAACCTAGCGACAAAAGCCCTGTTCCCCGGTGGAATCACATCCACAGCTGTAATCCACTGCCGATTGAGTTGATTCTTATACATTGTATGCGACCCTGGAGAACAGAGTAGAATTGCTCCTTGGGATTTGAGACAGTAAATCTTGACAGTAGCAAACAGCCTCATCATTCTCCTAAGGAGAGGCTAGTGGGTTAGAACTGCTGGCATTGTGGTTAGCAGCTCAAATGCTTAACCCACCATGACACCAGGACTCCTTTTCACAGATTAGGATTCTAACGCATATGTTGTTGTTGTTAACTTGGTTCTGACTCATAGCAACTCTACTGGAATTCCGAGGAGTGACTGGTGGGTTTGAACTGCTGAGTGTAGTTCAAACCCTTGCAGTTAGCAGTCCAGTGCTTATCCTACAGTGCCACACCAGGATAAGCACTCGACTTCAATGTTGTTTTGTATTGCAAGATTGGTGGTTCAAACTCACCAACCATTCCTCAGAAACCCTATAGAGGATCGCTATGAGTCGGAACTGACTCAATGGCACTTAACAACAACAATTAAATTCAGTAGCATTGGGTGAAAGTCATTTGTGTTTCTATTTCTGACAACTGTCCTCAGTGCCCCTCCGTTACACCTTGCTGCACCATCCTCTCCCCCCTCCCCCCTCCCCCAGGCGTTCCAAGGGGACTCCATCCCAGTCTTCGACCTGCTCATCCTGGGTATCGGCCCTGATGGCCACACATGCTCGCTCTTCCCAGACCACCCGCTCCTTCAGGTGAGCACACTGCAGAGGCCCCTCGTGTTCCAGGCCTTGGCCTTGGCCTTGGCCTCAGCCTCCTGTGGCTGCTGGGGGGAGGGCCACCTGCAGGGTGGTGCTTAGAGCTGGAGTTTATGTCAGCTTCTGCCACCCACCCTCCCTGGGTAACCCAGACAAGAAGCTGAGCACTCCTGATCCGCCATTGTTCACCCATTGTTCAATGGGGGCCTTCAGTCAGCTACCATGGCTGGTTGGGATAGCAGATGGGGTGATGTGTTGACCATGCCTAGTGGGGGAACGTGCTGAGAAGTGAGAGTGATGTTGTGTTTCTGCCTCCAACTTGGGGTTTCTTCCCATAGGAGAAGGAGAAGATCGTGGCCCCCATCAGCGACTCCCCAAAGCCACCACCTCAGCGTGTGACCCTCACACTTCCTGTGCTGAATGCAGCCCGAACTGTCATCTTTGTGGTGACTGGAGAAGGCAAGGCAACTGTTCTGAAGGTAATAATGAAGACCCCTATCTCTAAAAAGGTCATGGACATGTGGGCCCTGGCCTTGGGGTTTAGGGTAGAGTATGACCCTGGATATCAGTGTGCTGGAAGCATCAGATCTCAGGGTAATCGAGTCATTCTTGGATAAAGGGGAGATCAAAACTACAATTGCAAGATACCTAGAAATGAACAATTATGAGATGAAGTTGATAAGGTGAAGCTATAGCTGCACTCAGAGGCAAATTCAGTGTTCATAAAAAAAAAAAAGACTGTGTACATATTGTCACAGCTACTTTTAGCTACATGGCAATGTTTAGTGGTTATCACAGAGCCCATTTGGTCTGCAGAGCCAAAAATATTGACTATCTGATCCTTTGAAGAAAAGGTCTGCCAAACCCTGAGTGCAGTTGAAAGGTTTCAGGCACCTACTAGATAGCAATAACATTGGTAGTTTGAGTCTATTCAGGGGCACCACAGAAGAAAGTCCTGGCAATCTTCCATAAAGGTTACAGCCAAGAAAACGCTTTGAAGCAGTTCTACTCTAACACATGGGGTTGTCATGAGTCCGAATCAACTCAAAGGCAGTAGGTTTGGAATTAAACTGTTGGAATCACAGATTATTTTAAGCAAGCACAGAAGAGTTCTGGGTGGTTCAAATGGTTATGCAATTGACTATTAGCTGAACAGTTGGCGGATTGAACCCACCCAGAGACACCTTGGAAGACAGGTCTGTTGAGTAAGGGCACTTGGTCGGGAAGGGCAGCATCCAATCTCAAGAGTTCGAGACTCATGTCCATCAGAGTCCTGGGAACTCTGGGACCACCGTCCTGACCCTGCCCCTGTCACCACAGCGTATCCTGGAAGGCCAAGAGGAGAATCCGCTCCCTGCTGCTCTGGTCCAGCCACACACGGGCCAGCTGTGCTGGTTTCTAGATGAGGCAGCCGCCCGCCTATTGACTGTACCCTTCGAGAAGCACTCCACGTTGTAGCTGCTGGGCCGACACCACGGCTGGGACCACAGACACCTTGAGTGGTCAGGACCTTCCAGGGCTGGGCCCCGCTTACTGCCACACTCCTGACTGTGTTTGAGCAAAGCCACATGGCACTTTGAGAAGCCACGAGGGTCTGATTGTAGCTCAGCCCTGGGCTGAGGTTCTGGGCAACCTGGGTATTAAAAGAAACGTTTGTTTGGAGTCTCATCTCTCTCGTGGTCCTTGCTGGGCAGAGGGCTCAGCCTGCCCTTCCTCATGGGGAATGCCACTCTGAGTGAGGGCCCTGGGGTCACTGGAAGAGAGTGCCACAAACTCTTACTGTTCGCTATGGCCAAGTGCCATTGAGTGGGTTCCTACTCACAGCAACACTGTATAGGGTTTCTGAGGATCAGCTGGTGGGTTTGAACCATGTACCTTGCAGTTAGCAGCTATTCTACAGTACCACAAACTGGGGCGCTTGAAAGATTTGTTCTTACTGTCTGGAGGCCAGAGGTTTGAAAGTGTCAGCAAGGCCATGATTCCTCTGGGGATACAGCGCGGCTCCTTCCTTGCCTCTTCCAGTTTCTGATTTCTCCAGGTCTTCCAGGTCCTGTGGCCTCTTCACAGAGTCTCTGTCTCTGTCCTCACATGGTCACTTCTGTCTCATAAAACCCTGGTGATTGGATTTAGGGCCCACCCTAAACCCAGGACGCTCCTATCTTGAGATCCTTCACTTAATCACGTCTGCACAGATCCGGTGCACAAACAGGTCCTGAGGATTAGGGCATGAACATAGCATTTGGGAGGGACACAACAGTAGCCTCTCCGCACTCTGACTGAGTGTCCGCCACACCCACAGTCAGTTCAAGACCTCTGCGTCCTGCCCAGCTGCCAGCTTCCTCAGAGCCTTGAATATACCAAGGTGTCTTAAACTGCTGATGGGTGCCCAGGGCCTCAAAGCCAGACCCACCACAGGCTTAGCAGCCCCTGCGGTGTTGAATGTGGGGCTTGGGGTGCCCCACACCCAGCAGACAACTGGAGGGAATTGAAACTGCCCACGGGTGCGGCTGTTGGGGGAGAAGTAAAGCTGAACCTTCAGAAAGCCAAGTTTCCTCAAGTTTTCACAGGCCCAGAAGTGAAAGTGAGGAAGTGGGACCGAAAACAGGTTGAGAAACATTGGGGGTGGGGTAGGATGGAAAACAACGTGGGGTTGGGTAACAGATGGCCATGACCTCCCAGCTGAGGGTAGAGGCAGGACGGGTGGGGGGCAAGGAGGGAAAGTGAGGAGACAGACGGCCCCCTGGGCTCACTCCAGCTCACCCACCTCCTTCCTGTCCTAGAACTGACCATCGTCATTCCCACCTCAGGGCCTCTGTACTGGTTGTGCCCACTGCCAGTTCATTCTCCTCTAGTTCTGAACTTGACATAGCCCCTCACTTCAGGTCTTGGCACAACATCACTATTGGCCCCATTGAAGTCCCCTCCAGTCCTAAGACTGCCCCAGGAATTGGCTAGTACATTAGGGTCTTAGGGATCCCACCCAGCCTCAGCCAGAACTGGGGTCTCAGCTCAGAGGCCCTGGCTCAGCGGTGACCCTGATACTAAAAGTTCCATTGTCTCATCTTTCTGTCTCATGGTCCTTGAACAATGAACCTTTGCAGCTTATTGCTGCCCGAAGCCTGAGAACCCCATTTCTCACTGCACCCTGGAGAGCAGGCTCTGTGCCATTCATTCATTCCTTCACTCACAGAAAAGCATCAGCAACTGGCAAAGCGGGGGCCATGTCCCAGTTCACATACACTCACTGATGGAGGAACACAAAGTGTGCCCCCTACTGGTCCAGGCATGCAGGGACTGGTGTCCAAGCCAAGGGCTGAGGGATGAAGACCATAGGGTACAGTCCAGGTGTAGGCGTGGAGGAGATGTGAGGCAGGTAATGAGATCTGCAGGGAGCGTCAGATGACTGAGGGGCTGCTAGGGCAAGAGATGTTGAAAGAGGGGCTTTGTTTTCTGGAGGCTGATGAGAAAGCCACAAGGACACTTGAAGTCAGGTCATATCTTGGGTCTAAGGGTTTGGGGTACAATGGGGATGGGGGCTGGGGTTGTGGGGAAGGGACCCCTCCAAAAGCCACAAAGCAAAATGGAGAGGAGATGATTGGTTGCTTGTTTGGGGGGACAGGAAGGAAGCCAGGACAAAGCCTCAGTGTCCCACAATCCTACCTCTCATCTAGGACCCCAGTTCCCACTCCGCCATCCCACCACTGACTCTAGGGGCTAGGGAAATGTCTCCTACCTGGGGATGGGGCTTAGGCTGGGTTCTCATCCCCAGCATCATCCAGCAAGGGGATGAGAACAGTGGAGGAGGGGCACCAAGAATTAGAAACACCCCTAGCCCAGAAAAAGATCTTAGCTCTAACCAAAAGGTTGGTGGTTTGAACTACCCAGTAGCACCTTGGAATAAAGTCCTGGCAATCTCCTTGCATTAAGATTATAGCCAAGAAAGCCCTACGTAGCAGGTCTACTCTTTTACACGGGCGGCCACCATGAGTCAGAATCAATTATTCTCCTGCTACTGGTTGTTCGTTTTTGGTTTTTGTATTCCCCCCCACCTCCCTCTCCTGCCCCCATGCACTAATGACTGTTGGCTGGTGTCTGCCCTGCACCCCTCAGATGGCCAGCACCTCTGTCGCCTAGCCCCACCCCCGGACTGCCCAAGTGCTCAGAGAAGAAGGCATGAACCAGAAACCACCAGCTCAGGGCAGCCTTTGCCCCTAGGGAATGGGGGAGGGCACAGGTGCAGGTGGAGAGGAAGGGCGTAGGCAGTGGCCACATGTGACGGGACCTGCTGTGACAGGACCAGGGATTCCACAGCATTTGAGCCTCCCCAGCACACTACTCTCAGAGTGGTAGAGGTGTTGTGTTGGCCTCTATTCAAGGGGAGCCCAGAGACCTCGGGCAGGATGGGTGGGCGACCCTCAAGCCCCCTGGACAAGCGGCAGCAGCAGCACCTTAAGGGTGAGCTAAACGGGGGTAGGGTGGGGGTGGAGAGTGGGGGGGGGGTCAAGACGAAGGTTGTCAGACACAGTACAGATGGCTGTTAGTTGCTGTGAAGCCCACTCTGACTCGTGTGTGCAGAATAGAAATGCTCCATAAGGTCTTCCAGTCTGTGACCTGTTAAAAGCAGATCACCAGGTCTTTCTTCCTAGATGTCTCTGAGTGGGTTCAAATCACCAGTCTTTCAGTTAATGATGGTGGTGGTGGTTGTATGCCACTGAGCTTAGTCATTTGCACCAACCATTGTAAACTCCAGAAAAGCAATGTTTTAGCATGAATTGTTGGAAGAAGTGCAACCAGAGTGCTCCTTGGAGGCCAAGATGGCCAAACTTCTTCTTTCATACTTCGGACATATTGTCAGGAGGGAGTAGTTCCTGGAGAAGGATATCATGTTTGCTAAGGTGGAGGGTCAGAGAAAAAGAAGAAGACCCCCAGGGAGATGAATTAGCCAAGTGGCAGTATCAGTGGACTCAAGCGTGACAACAATAGTAAGGCTGGCCCAGGATCAGGCAGTGTTTCGCTCTGCTGTGCATAAGGTCTCTATGAGTTGTCACCGAATTGACAGCAACAACATATCCCAAATATTACGTGAAGCATATGTGCTAAAATAAATATTTATTTATCTGAAATTCAAGCTTCACTTGTTCTTGTCTTTGGAGTTGTAACTCTGGTTATCCTGTTCAGGCCTTTTGAATGGGTTTGGAGTGTGGGACTAGGTGGTGTTGTCCCAGGCCCTGTCAGACCCAGCAAGGTGGTCCTCTATGGGGGCAGAGACAAGCAGGCCCTTCCGCGTGACCCCCAGGGGCCGAGGCTCATTCCTAGATTTGAGTACAAAAGAGACTGGGAATAATTCAGCACCAGGAGACTCCTTTAATTCCCCAACGTGTGGGTTAAACACTCCTGGGAACCTTCCCCCAACACATACACACTGAGGGGCTCACAATCAAGGAGACAGTGTCAGTCTGAGGCTGGAGGGGTCCAATGGAGTTGGCAGGTAGAAAGACGGTGGGAACATCATTCTGTTCGTGAGGAACAGCATGGGCAAAGAGCAGTCAGACTGCCCAATCGTGCCCTGGCACTGCCCTCACTCTGTGACCATGAAAACTGCATCTCTCTGGACCTCATTCTCTCATTTGCAAGATGAGAGATCACAACAGTGTCTACCTCACGAGGCCATTGTAAGAAATCACTGAAATACCCTTTCAACTTTAGCAACTAAAACGTAACTATTTGTTTCTCTCTTCTCTCTTCTCTCTCTCTCTCCAGGCAGGCTGGTAAAGTTGGAGCCTGAGCTCCTTCCACCTCTAGACTCTGCCATCCGTGGCTTCTAGGCGGAGATCACTTTGTGGTGCATGATGGCTGCTGTAACTCCAGCCATTGGGTCCACATTCCATGTAGCAAAATGGTAGTATATTTTATATACCGTCAAGTGCACATATCTAAGCTTAAAGAATTAAGGTGCAATCACCTCCTAGTTCAGGATAGAGAACACTTCATCTCTCTAGAAAGTTACCTTGTGCTAGGATGGAATGTTTAAAAGTTTTTGAAAGTTGGAAACAGATAGTGGAAACAAACATGATGAATGTAATTAATGTCGGTGGATTACACATGTGAAACTGGTTGAAATGGAAAATGCTTTACTATGTATATTCTTTTTTTTGGTTTAAAAAACTTTTATTGTGAATTAAGTGAAGGTTTACAGAGTAGATCATCAGTTTTACTTTCAACAAATCATATACTTTGTTTCATTACAGTAATTTCAATCCCTTCCATGAACCATCGGTTCATAGTATTTACCTCTATTCCCTTTATTTTTTTACAGCCCTTTTCTTTTTAAATGTTTTATTGTGAATTATGTGATAGTTTACATGGGAGAACATTCGTTTTACATTCATCCTATCTTATTTCATTGTTATAGTTACAATCCCCTCCATGCATCATCAACCACCCAAAGGGTATGTATACACTACAAGCCTGCCCCCGGCATCAGCACACAGCCCCTCTCCCTCTCTAGGTCTAAAGTCCCCAATTTCTCCATCTCTCCACATCATTGTCTCTGCCTCCATCTCAGGCATCACTGTTTCTCTGGGTAGGGTCCCGCTCTCTGCTCTTCTCCCTTGATGGTCCCAGGGACCTTTGCTCCTAGGCTGAAAAGTTAATCGCTCCCCTCCTTGCTACAAAACGTCTACCTTTACATTTCCAACCCTCACAATCAGTCCTGATAACAATTATTCACACTGTTGTATCACAGGAGACCTATCCCCATCTCTTTTCATCAGCCCTGCCTAGACAGATTGGATACTACTCAGTGGAGATTCTACCTTCCTCCATGCCCCCTGGATCTAGGTTCCCTCTTGAAAGCTTGTAAGCCAGTCACTTCTTGCCTTTGTAGCCCCCCTATTTTGGGTAGCCAATGTCCAAGTTGCCCATCCCTTTGTACTCTGTGTATGGAGGGAGTGGGAATGATCCTTGCTGTAAGGGCTATGTATATTCTCAAGGAGCTATGGTAGTGTAGTGTTTGAGTTGGGTTGCTAATCTCAAGGTTAGCAGTTTGAAACTATCAGCAGTTCTGCAGGAGAAAGATGAGGCTTTCTGCTCCAGTCAAGATTTACAGTCTCAGAACCCCTATACAGGGTCACTGTGAGTTGGATTTCATAGCACATACCCACTACCACGTATATTCTTACCACTATTTTTTTTTTTTTTTTTAAAGAAAAGCTTTTGAAAAGTCTCCCCAGATAAAGGGCACAAGGTAACTTTTGGGAGAGATGGAGCTGTTCTGAGGAGCTTTGGTGGCACAGTGGTTAAAGCACTCGACGGCTAGTGGTTAAAGTCCACCAGTTGCCCCACGGAAGAAAGATGTGGCTGTTCCTAAAGAATCGGAAGCACTATGGAGCAGTTCTACTCTAGCCAACAGGCTGGATATAAGTTGGAATCCACTCGTTGGCAGTGGGTTTGGGTTAGATTGGTTCCAGATATCAATTGTGGAAATAGTTTAATGGGTGTGTAATTGCATCAAAGTTCATCAAATTGTGCATTTCAAACACAAATGATGATTACTGTGCACCAATGTGTCCCTTAGTGGTGCAAATGACTAACTAAGCACTTGGTTACTAGTTTGAATGCACCTAGTGGAGACTTGAAAGAATGGTCTCATCATCTACTTTGGAAACTCAGCCACTGAAAACCTCTATGGGGTTCTATGGTGGCACACATGGGGTCACCATGAATATATCTGAAGGTAACGGGCTTGGCTTGCTTGTTGTTGTTGTCAGGTGCCATCGAGTCGGAACCGACTCATAGCAACCCCATGCACAGCAGAACGAAACAATGTCCGATCCTGGGCCAACCTCACTACCGCTGCCACACTTGAGTCCATCAGTGATGCCATCTGGCTGATCCATCCCGTTGGGGGTCTTCCTCTCCTTCTCTGACCCTCCACCTTACCCAGCATGACATCCTTCTCCAACGATTGGCTTGCTTATTGTTCATCAATTATAAGTTAGGTGTGAGTCACCTAAATCGCCCTCCACCACTTGCCATCCACAGTGAAGGGTTCTGGGTGGATGGCAGTTTGTGCAAGTCTTGTTGGGCAGTTTTGGGATGCAGATGGGAGCCCATGGTGGTTTTCCTTTTTCTTCTGCCCTCCTTCAGGCAGGCCTGATGGCTTATCCTCCTGTCCCCTTTTTCCCCTTAGATCAGGTAGACGCTCTGCTGAAGAACTTCCTGCCGTCCTACCGCAGGCAGCTGGCTGCTTCAGTCCTGCGACAGATCTCCAGGGAACTGGGCCCCCAGGAGCCGGCAGGGTGTCAGTTGATGCGCAGTAAGGTGGGTGGGCGTGACCAGCGTTGGTGGGCGTGGCTGATAGGAGCGTGCCTGGGAAAACGCTTGCCTGGCTTTCGTTTGCTTAGACCACTCTCTAACCTCCCCACCCCTGGAGATTTTAAAACATTAATTCATTCTTTTTTTTTTTGCTTATTCAACGACGTTTTTCACGTGTACAACCTAGTGACCCAATTACATGAATAAGGTTGGTAGTACAACCTTACCAACACTTGTTGACAAATTTCTCATCATGGTAAACCAGCTCAATGTTTCTTAAACTATGACTCTCCTTTACCCCTTTCTCCCCGCCCGTCACCATGAAGCAGTTTTGGTCTTCATACATACGCCTATTTCACCTAAGTTGGAAGATACAACTTTGCCTGGTTTCTTTCACTGAGCTTGTCCTGGTGTGGCCCTGTAGGATAAGCACAGTACTACTAACCGTGAGGTCGACCATTCAAACCCACCAGCTGCTCCTTGGAAAGCCTATACAGGGTCGCTGTTAGCCAGAATTGACTGGAGAGCACTTAAAAGCAACAAATGTTTCAAGTCAAATCGACTCGATGACAGTGGTTTAATGTTTCAGGCCCATCCAGGCTGTGTTCCAACTCATAGTGACCCTGTATAGGGTGACCCTGTATAGGGTGACCCTGTATAGGGTTTCCAAGGAGCAGCTGGTGGATTTGAACCGCCGACCTTGCAGTCCAGTGTATTATCCTGCAGCACTACAGCATGTTGCTGTGTGCCATGGAGTCGGTTCCTACTCATAGCGACCCTGTACAGGCTGTAAATCTTTTCGGGAGCAGAAAGCCTCATCTTTCTCCCACAGAACAACTGGTAGTTTCCAACTGCTGACCTTAAGGTTCATAGCCCGATTCGTAACCACTACGCTACCAGAGCTCCTTAGAGATACTGCAGGTAGCAGGTATTAATGCTTTGGAGGCACTTGGACAGGCGGAGCAAGGTGGAGCTTCATTACTGATGGGCTGTTTCCTCGCGGGTCCGTATTTACCGTGGCGCAGTGGATGATCTGTATCTACGGGCTCGCCATGCTCTGACGTTCCCAGGCAGTGAAGTTTCAGAGTGGAGTTTGCGAGTCCGGGTGTCCGGACTGAGACCGCTCCTACTGCAGGGCGGGTCAGTTGTGTGTTTGTTAACTCGGACTCAAAAGATCGCTTCTGTGTGTCCCCCCTCCTGGGGCGGGGCCGCGGGGCCGGTGACACCCAGTAGTATTTGCAAGAAGGAGCTCTGGTAGCGTAGTGGTTACGAATCGGGCTGCGAACCTTAAGGTCAGCGGTTCGAAACTACCAGTCGCTCCGCGGGAGAAAGATGAGGCTTTCTACTCCCGTAAGGATTTACACCCTTGGAAACCCTGTACAGGGTCGCTATGGGTCGGACCCGACTCGATGGCACTTAACAACAACAACAAACCAAGGCGCATTGTAAGAAATCTAAAAAACGAAGAATCACATGACTTAGCGCATTCCGCTTCAGCTTTGCTGGCGCAAGGCGATTAAGATCCCGGGACACCGGTCGCGCCCCAACGCCCTTCTGTCCCTCCCAGCAGAAGCTGCCCCGCGTTCGCGAGCACCGAGGCCCCCTGACCCAGCTTCGGGGCCACCCGCCTCGGTGGCAGCCGACCTTCTGCGTCCTGCGAGGGGATGGCCGCCTAGAGTGGTTCAACCGCAGGGAGGTGAGCTCGCTGACCCGCCCTCTCCATCCAACCACACTGGGGCATGGTTCCTCCCCACAACATAGTGAGCCATTCCTGCTCCCAATTCCCTTTTCTGAATCCTGTAATGTGAATTCAGCCCCACTCCAAGCTGGGTGCTTGGCTCCCATTGGGCAGCTATCTTACTTTGTCACCTGGTAATCCAGGTGGGAAAACAGACACAGGCGGGGAGGGTCAGAACTCACTCAGAGTCCCAAGTGAAACCACGTTGAGGCTTTTGCTCATCACAGCAATGCCTGCTTCCCAGGCAGGGAGCCCATGTGGGGCCTTGCCTTCCTGGCATTCAGTTTACCCCTCTGTAGAATGGGCTACTGGTAACCAAGGCAGCAAAGGACTTTGGGGATTTGATGAGATTGTTACCTACACACTTGGGGTCAACTGAGCACATAAGGAGTACTGGAAGCACAGGGTTAGGTAGAGGTAGCAGGGAAAAGTTCCCCACAAACCTTCCCTTAGGTCTAAAGGTAGGATGTAAAGCCATGGGTTAGACTCATTCTAAACCTCTTCTTTGGATGCCTTTTGTAGGAATATGAAAATGGGGGCAAGCCCCTTGGCTCCACGACCCTGACCGGGTACGTAGTGCTGACCTCACAGCAGGAATATCTCCGCCTGTTGGACACTCTCTGCCCAGACTCCTCAGGTTAGGCTCCCAGGACCACAAGGGAGGGCTTCCTACCAGGGCACTGCTGCCACTTGGGGAGGATTATTCTCCATGGGGTCTCCCTGTGCATTCTAGGATGCTGAGCAGCATTCCTAGCCTCTACCCACTTGATACCAGTATCAACCCCCCAAGTTGTGACAACCAAAAAATATCCCCAGACCTCCTAAATGTCCCTGGGTGAAGACATTGCTCTAGAAACATCCACTTCCACTCTATCAGGGTGAAAGGAGAGTTAGGTCACCTGACCAGAATCAAAGACAATCCCCCACCAACAACAAACAAAACCAAACCTGCTGTTCTGGAATCAATTCTGACTCTTGATGATCCCATGTGTTACAGAGTAGAACTGTGGCAATGTGCATCATCAGGTTTCCACGGTGATAATCTTTATGGAAGCAGGTTGCCTGGCATTTCTTTCATGTTGCCTCTGGGTGGGTTCAAACCATCTCGCTGGGGGTCTTCCGCTTTTTCTCTGACCCTCCACCTTACCAAACATGACATCCTTCTCCAATGATTGGTCCAGCCTACAATATGTCGAAAGTATGAGAGACGAAGTTTGGCCATCCTGGCCTCCAAGGAGCACATTGGCTGCATTTCTTCCATCACAGATCTGTCAGTTCTGTGGGCAGCCCATGGCACTTTCAATATTCTCCTCCAAAACCATAACTCAAACACATCAATTCTTCTACGATCTTCCTTATTCACTGTCCAGCTTTCGCAAGCATATGAGGTTATTGAAAATAGCATGGTTTAGGTCAGGAGTACCTCAGTCCTCAAGCTGACGTCTTTGCTCTTCAACACTTTAAAAAGGTCTTGTGCAGCAGATTTACCAAATGCAATATGTTGTTTGATTTCTTGGCTGCTGCTTTCATGAGTGTTGATGGTTGACCCAAGAAAAATGAAGTCCTTGACAACGTCAATCTTTTTTTTACCATTGATAAGAATGTTGTTTATTGGTTCAGTGGTGAGGATTTTTGTTTTCTTTACATTGAGATGCAATCCATACGGAAGGCTATGGTTTTTTATCTTCATCAGTATTTAAGTCCTCTTCATTTTCAGCAAGGTTGTATCATCTGCACATCACAGGTTGTTAATGAGCCTTCCTCCAATCCTGATGCCACATTTTTCTTCATAGAATCCAACTTCTAGGATTATTTGCTCAGCATACAGGTTGAATAAGTATGGTGAAAGAACACAACCTTGTCGCACACCTTTCCTAATTTTAAACCATTCAGTGTTCCCATGTTCTGTTCAAACAACTGCCTCTTGGTACTATGTACAGGTTCCTCATGAGCACAATTAAGTGTTCCAGAATGTTCATACTTCACAATATTGTCTATAGCTTGACATGATCCACACAATCAAAAGTCTGTGCATAGTCAATAAAGCACAGGTAAACATCTTTCTGGTATTCTCTGCTTTCAGCCAAGATACATCTGACGTCAGCAATGATATCCCTCATTCCAGGTCCTCTTCTGAATCTGGCTTGAACCTCTGAAGTTCTCTGTCAATGTATGCTTGCAGCCATTTCTGTATTACCTTTAGTAAAACTTTACTCACATGGGATATCAAAGAGATTGTCCAATGATTTCCGCCTTCCATTGGGTCACCTCTCTTTGGAATGGGCACAAATACAGATCTCTTCGAATCAGTCAGCCACATAGTTTTCTTCCAAATTTCTTGGCATAGATAAGTGAGTGCCTCCAGTGCCGCCTCACTTTCCTGAAAGATTTCTATTTTTATTCCATTAATTCCTGGTGCCTTGTTCTTTGCCAATTCCTTCAATGCACCTTGGACTGCCTCCTTCAGTATCATTGGCTCTTGATCATTTGCTACCTCTTGAAATGGTTGAACATCAACCATTTCCTTTTGGTATAGTGACTCTGCGTATTCCTTCCATCTTCTTTTGATGCTTTCTGCATCATTCAGTAATTTGCCCAGAGAATCCTTCAATAACAAAAATTGAGGCTTGAATTTTTTTCTTCAGTTCCCTCAGCTTGAGAAATACTGAGCGTGTTCTTCCCTTTTGGAACCAAAAGGGAAGTATACACCAATGCCTAGGATATTGATATTTATGTGTTCCATTTCATCAAACAATAGTTTAGTTTTTATGACATAGCATTGTGGGTAGTGATTACTTCTTCCAGGACTGATGTATGACACACTTGCAGGGGGTATTGCCCACCAGGAACACTGGTGACCAAAGTTTTTACTGCGATTTGGTCATGTTGGCATATTTTTGGTGGCTTTCAACTCAAGAGGCCCATCTTCCAGCACTGTCATAACAGTATCATATTATAATCCATAGGGTTTTCATTGGCTTGTTTCGTTACCTTTGTTCCTAGTCCGTCTTAGTCTAGAAGCACTGCCAAAACTTGTCCATCATAGACGAGTCTGCTGGTTCTTGAAATACTAATGGCTTACCTTCTAGTATCATGGCAACACTTCAGCAAGTTGACAAATGGATAAGGATTTCAACTCCACCCCCATCCATCCACACACAAAGTAAAACCAAATCCTTTGCCATCAGGTGGATTCCAACTCATAGCAACCCAACAGGACAGAGGAAAACTCCCCATAGGGTTTGAAGCGCTTTCAATCTTTACAGAAGCAGACTGCCACATCTTTCTTTCATGTAGCAGCTGGTGGGTTCAAACCACCAACGTTTTGGTTGTTAGTGGAGTGTTTTAACCACTGTGGCAGCAGAACTCCTCTGACTAAGGATTTAGGAGATCCCAAATATATTGGAGAAAAGACATCATGCATGGTAAAATGGAGGGTGAGTGAAAAAGAGGAAGGCCCCCAACAGATGGATTGTGAGTGGTAGTAACAGTGGTCTGCAACGTAGCAGCAACTGTGGGGATGGTGCAGGGCCAGGTAATGTGTCAGTCTGTCATGCATAGGGTCACTACGAGTCAGAACCAACAACAAACAATAACCAAAAATAAATTTGTGTTGTCTTCCTGACAACTCTAGGTTGGTCCATATTGCGATTTAACCCCATTTTACAGGCAGTAAAATTGAGATCAGAAAGAAGACAAAGTGTGCCTTAGGCATAGAACCCCAACCCTTTTATCAGTTTGTTAACCTGTGGTGGCTTGTGTGTTGCCGTGATGGTGGAAACTATGTCACTGGTATTTCAAATACTAGCAGGGTCACTCATGGTGAAGGGGTTTCAGTAGAGTTTCCAGACTAAGACAGACTATGAAGAAAGGCCTAGTGATGTACTTCCAAAAACTAGCCAATGAAAACTTTATAGATCACACAGAACAGCGTCCAAGTCATTTGCTTTGGACATATTATCAGGAGGGATCAGTCACTGGAAGGGAACATCATGCTTGGTGAATTGGAGGGCCAGTAGGGTGAGGGAGTTCGAGGGAGGTGGACTGGCACAATAGCCACAAAGATGGACCGAAACTTGCCCAGAATTGAAAGCTAAACTGAAAGACTCGGCAACATTTCATTTGGTTGACTTGGTAGCAACCATATATTTTTTTCTAGGCTTAAAGCTTGTGAATGGTATGATGGGGCTGGATTCGAACCAGCTCTTCATTCAGCAGGTCAGGCACCCTGGCCCGGATTCCCCCAGAGGGACTCAAACTTGGGGCCTGGCTGACATCAATCAGGGTTCTCTCCCAATTTGTAATGGTTGGTGATGTCAGCCCGGGGAAATTGTATTATGGAGGAGCCTGATGCTGGGAAACGAGGCAGGGATGGATTACTGATGTCTGCCCTAGACCCACAGAGGGGGAGATGGCCTACAATCCTACAGGACTGGGTCCAAGCCTAGTAACTAGAATAATAATTTTGTTGTTGTTAAGTGCTATCCAGTCAGTTCTGACTCATACATTCCACTATAGGGTTTCCAAGGAGTGATTGGTGGGTTTGAAACAGCAATCTTGCAGTTAGCAGTCCAGTGCTTAACCTACAATGTCAGTGGCAACTAACCATTGGGTTTCATGGCATGCCTGGAGTAATGGCCCACCCCAAGGCTGCTCTGATAATTTCATGGACATTTTCTCCTAGTGAATTAATAATGAGTTGTACAATGAATGAATGAAGGCGTGATCATTTTCTGTCTTCTTCCAGAAGGTCATGCACAGGAAGAACCTGACCCTCTCCAGGATATGCCCGAGAGTTTCCCTCTCTTCCTGCAGCACCCCTATCGCCGGCATCTTTGCTTCTCCACAGCCACTGCGGAGATGCAGAGAGCCTGGAAACTGGCCCTCCAGGGTGGCATCCGGCTCCGGGGCACTGGTGGGTCCAAAAGGGACTAGGTAGTAGTTAGGCTCAGACCCTGGGGACTCACATACCCTTTCTGGCTGTGGGAACCTCACCAAACCTCTGTTTTCTTATCTGTAAAAATGGGTTGTTGGGAAAGGCAGAAGGGGCACCAGGCAGATAGGAGTGGCCAGGACTATATTAGTGGCAGTGCAGTCAAAGCCCAGACTGGGAGTCAGGTAGGACATCCCAGGGGTTGAAGCTGGGGCCTGAAAAAAACTAGGTGCCAGCCATATAGAGGGAAAAAGAAAACAGGACCCCACTGAATAAGCCTGTCCTATTGGAAAAGAGAGTCAGCTGGAGGCTCCATTCTAGGCCCCACCTGCTAAACCCTGCTCACATATAAGGCCCCTTTCTCCCATCCTGCTTGCTGCTGCCCACAGGAGGCACCTTTTCCTAAGTGGTAAGGTGCTTCAAGGGCAGATGGTGAGCCGGGGGGCATGTGCCCCAGCACAGGACACTGTACAAAGGCTCGAAGCTGGGCCAGACTCGGGTGGGTGTTCAGGGATCTAGTGGGCGGGGGAGCCGGAGAATGGGTGGAGGTGGTAGACCCCTCAGGGTATGAAGGAATTTCTTAGTCCTTCAGCGTAGTTCGGCCCCTGCTGCCCGGGCCTTCTTGGACGCCGTCCGGATGTACCGACAACACCAAGGCCACTTTGGCGACGACGACGTGACCCTGGGCTCGGACGCAGAGGTCAGTCCACACTTGCTCGCTCGCATCCGGGACACGTAGGCTCCACCCGGTCTGCTGGGCCCTCATGGCCGACTCTACTGCAGGTGCTGACCGCGGTGCTGATGCAAGAACTGCTGCCAGCGCTGTGTTCCCAGACCGCGCCCAGCCTGCGGGGTACTGGCCGTGCCCGCGCCTGGGTCTGGACCGAGGTAAGGAGAGGTTGGGGACACGTGGGGACCCACGATCTCCCTTTCTGCCTGAAATTGCTCCCGGTCTCTCCATCTCCTCGTTTCTGTCTCTCTGCCCCTCTCCCTGGCTGTCCACCGTGCCTCTGACCCGTGTGGGTCGCCACGCCCGGTTCTGCAGCTTCTGGATGCCGTCCACGCCGCCGTCTTGGCCGGGGTCTCGGCGGAACTCCGTGCCTTCCAGCCCGAAAAGGACAAGCTGCTGGCTACCCTGGAAAGGACCATCCGCCCAGACGTAGACCAGACACTGCGACTACGGGCGCAGGTGGCTGGGAAGATGCGGGGTAAAGATTAGGGAAAGGACGGGCGGGCGGGGCGGGGCCTAATTTCGAAAGGGGAGGAGCTTGTGAAAAGTGGAACTAAAGGGTGGGTCTGGTAAGGGGGCGACAGTGTGGGGTAGGGCAGAGGAGGGGCCTTCCTGGACTGAACCAGGGCAAGGGAGGGGCGGGGCCTAAGGAAATGGGCGGAGCCAAGGAAAGACTGGGCAGACTCAAGGAACATGACGGAAAAAGAGGGAGCTTGATATAGAAGAGGGTTAGGGGAGGAGCGAAACAAAAGAAAGGGAGGGACAGAAGGGTGAGGCCTAAATGGTAAAGGGGCGCGGTCAGGAGCTGAGGCCTGTAGAGGAGCCTAGGAGCGGTGTCGGAGATGAAGGGCGGGATTGTAGGAGGGGTTAAGAGAGGGTGAAGCCGGGTGAGGGACTGGAGGAGAAAGGGTTGGACCCAGGGGCTGTGGAGTCCAGGCCGCAGAAATATGCCATCCATTGAATAAGAACTCTGTGCCCAGGGGCCTTTGGGCTAGTCCTAAATTTCCATACGTTAAACGTTAAACGCTGGCGTGGTTCTGTGGGTTAATGCGTTGAACTGCAAGGTCGCTTTGAACCGCAACGTCGGTGGTTGAAGCTCACCAGCCGCTGGCTCCTTGGAAACCCTATACAGGGTCGCTTTGAGTAGGTAACGACTCGACAGCACTTAATAACAAGTAACAATGGCTTGCGAATCACAATGTCAGAGGTTCGAGTCCACAGCCGCTCCGCGGAAGAAAGATGTGACTTTCTGCTCCCGCAAAAATTTAAAGCCTCGGAAGTCCTATATAGGGTTGCTGAGTCGGAACCGACTTGTTAGGCACTTAACAAAATGGGGCGAGGCGGCTGCTCAGAGTCTGCGTTCCAGTCCAGGGTTCACGCCGCTGCTATTTGAGGGGGCATCTCACAAAGGAGACCCCAGGATAGTGTCTTCTGCCCCCAGCCAAGATCCAGGGCCCCCTCGAGTCGTGCCTGCGCCGGGAGGTGGGAGCGCAGCTGGCCTGGGTCACTCAGTCGCTGCAGAGCACCGTGGGGGCCACACTGGCGGCGGTGAGGACTCTTCTTGCTCAGAGCATCGACCGCCTCTTTCGCCACCTGCGTGGGAACCCCTCTGGCGCGCGGCTGCGCAGGGAGGTGAGCTTCCGGGGAGCAGGGACAGTATGTTAATACGACAGCAAAGGGGCGGGAGCCTGCTATTTTTCTTGCTTGGAAAACCTCTCTGAAATTTGTTCTAGGCTTTACTGAACATTTTGTTGCATTCCCCTCCTCCGTGCTTCGTATGGTCACTGCTGCTGCTTTAATTTACGCTGTAGGAGAATCACTGGTCCACAAGGTCGGCAGTTCAAACTCACCAGCCGCTCCTCGGAAACCTTACCCAGGGTCTCTGTGAGTCGGAACTGACTCGATGGCACTTAACGACAATTTAGGGTTTTCGAGAGTGCAAATCTTTAGGACGGGAGCAGAAAGCCTCATCTTACTTCCGCGGAGGGCCTGGAGGATTCTAACTGCTGACCTTGCTTTCAACAGCTTAAGGCTAACCCACTAAGCTATCATTATTATTGAACATGGTTTGAATGTGGGGGTGGGGAGTGGGAGGTGGAGAGAAAGGCATCTTATTAGCAAAACCCGTCTTCCTCCTTCTAACCCATGTTAGAAAATTCTGCCCAATGCATGTCAGTTTAGTGTGTCTGATATTAAATGAGCACCTATTATATAATCTGCAGTTTGATGTTGTTGTTGTTGTGTGCCATTGAGTCTGTTCCTTCTTCTTGGATCAACTATCAACACTCATGGAAGCAGTCAAGAAATCAAACAACGTATTGCATTAGGCAAATCTGCTGCACAAAACCTTTTTAAAACAAAGATGTCAGCTTGAAGACTAAGGTGTGCCTGACCCAAGCCATGGTATTTTCAATAACCTCATATGCATGCGAAAGCTGGACAATTAATAAGGAAGACTGTAAAAGAATTGATGCTTTTGAGTTATGGTGTTGGAGGAGAATATTGAAAGTGCCATGGGCTGCCAAAAGAACCAACAGATCTGTGTTGGAAGAAGTGCAGCCAGAGTGCTCCTTGGAGGCCAGGATGGCCAAACTTCGTCTCTCATACTTGGGACATATTGTCAGGAGGGACCAGTCGCTGGAGAAGGATATTATGTTTGGTAAAGTGGAGGGTCAGAGAAAAAGGAACCCCCAACAAGATGGATTGGCCAAGTGGCAGCAATGGGCTCAAGTGTGGCAACAATAGTGAGGTTGGTCCAGGATCGGGCAGTGTTTCGTTCTGTCGTGCATAAGGTCGCTGTGAGTCAGTACCAACTCAGTGGCACTTAACAACAACAACATAGGGCTTCTGAGGAACAGCTGGTGGGTTTGGACCACTAACCTTTCGGTTTAGACTAACCTTGCAGTCCAGTGCATTATCCTGGAACGCCACACCAGGACTCCATTTTGTAATCCTCTTCTCTAAGATTGTTCCCGGAACCACTTTGCTTCCCCAGCTTCCCATTCTTCCCACATCACAGTAGCATTTACACTCTTATATGTTTGCCTGTCTACAATCTGTCTCTTGCAAGTTGATTCTGAGCTCCTTTTGGTGGAAAACCGGGTGGAATTACTCCATTTCTACAGCCTCAGGGCCCAGGACCAAGCTGGCTTCAGACCACTGTTGTTGGTATCAAAGGGACACAGTGTATCTGTTTTCCCTCAGTTATACCAGAACCACATCTTATAATTTTTTAAGTGGTTGCCATTGATTTTTCTGTCGATTTCTTTTAACTGTGGTGAAAACATCTGTCAGCACGACTTCCACATTTACAACTAATGACACTGACCACATGTTTCTTGCTGGGCCACCATCATCACTATCTTCATCTACCACCACTAACATAAACTCAGAGCCTCCAAACAAAAATTCTGCCTCCTCGCCTCCATCCTGTCCCTGGTAACCATGAATAATCTTTGGTTTCTCTGCGTTTGCTTATTTCATAGGAGTGAGATTGTACAGTGTTTGTCCTTTTGTGATTCATGTAATTCGCTCAGCGTAGCGTAGTGGTTACGAATCAAACTGCGAACCGCAAGGTCAGCAGTTCAAAACTACCAGCTGTTCCGAGAGAGAAAGATGAGGTATTCTGCTCCTGTAAAGATTTATAGCCTCAGAAACCCTGTACAGGGTCGCTATGGGTCGGAACCGACTCCACAGCACACAGCCAGTATCTCCAAGGTTCATCCAGGTCTTGGCATGTGTCAAGACAAGATTTCTCCATTGTACGTGCAGACCCCACAGTTTATTCATTCATGTGTTGATGGACATTTGAGTTGTTGCCACCTTTGACTCTTGTGAAAAGTGCTTCCGTGAATACGGGTACTCATGGTTCTGTTTGAGTTCTAGTGTTTCTTGTGTTATATTCATCTAATGGCCCCTGAAGTCCTGTAATGGTGCTGTGGGATAAACACTGGACTGCTAATGCCAAGGTCGGTGGTTCAAACCCACCAGCCACTCCTCAGAACCCTATACAGGGTCACCATGAGTAGGAAACAACTCGATGGCACGTAACAACAGCAGCAATGGCCCCTGGAAAGTAGTCTTGGTGGCACAGTGGGTCAGGTGTTGGGCTGATACCCAGAAAGTTGGCGTTTTAAGTCCACTAGTCACTTTGCTGGTAGAGAAAGATGAGGCAGTTTTCCTTAAATATCCACAGCCTGGGAAACTATTGGGCAGTTCTATTCTGTTCTATAGAGCTGCTAGGAATTGGGATGGATGAACAGGCAGTGGGATGCCCCCTAGTGGCGTAAACTGAAAGACTGGTGATTTGCACCCACTGTGGACCAGCACTGGACTGCAAAACACAAGGTCAGCAGTTTAAACCCACCAGCTGCTCTTGGGAACCTATATAGCGTCACTATGAGTCAGAACCAACTCAATGGTACTTAACAACAGTGTCTCCATGGCAGAAAGATATAGCCATCTGCTTCTGTAACGATGACAGCCATGAAGACCCTATGAGACAGTTGTACTCTGTCACATGGGGATCTCAGTGAGGCAAAAATCGACTTGATGGCACCTAACAGCAATAACAAGGGGCCCTTACTCGTATTTGATTTTGCCTTAAGTGGTGAAGTCCTGGGTGGACTGCATGTCCACTTTCATTTCTCCATCTGTGGATTGGCTGTGGGGTCCACTCTGTAGTTCCACTCTTCTATCTGCTGATAGTGTTGTCTCTCACGGGCTGCCTCTGGGACACAGGTCTACTCGTTTGGGGAGATGCCGTGGGACCTGGAGCTGATGCAGATGTGTTATCGAGAGGCTGAGCAGAACAAGGAGCGCTTGGGTCAGCTGGTCAAACCCTTTGGCTTCCTCGGGACACAAAGCCTAGTGTTTCGAGTCCAAGATCTTGCTCAGCAGGTGAGGAGGGAAAGAATGAGCTTCAGGTGTGTTCTGGGATATCAGGACACCAGGATGACTGGGAGGGACCTGGCCCTCCCTCCAGCCCCCAAATAATGAGCTGAAGACCAGGCAATGACCACGCTGAGAGGGCAGGGCTGTGGTGGGACACACACATACAGGATGGGTTCTGAAGTGACACCTGGTCATCTCCAGGCACAGGTGGGCCCCAAGGAGGCGCTGATGGGAGGAATGGGGGTGGAATATGTTCGGCTGAGGGAACATCATGGATAAATGCTGGGGGCTGAGAGAGCTTGGCTGCATTTGGAGCTCATTGGAGAGGTTGGATTGTAGGTTATGGTCCCTGGGTGGTGCACATGTTTTGAGTGTGGCTACTAACCTGGTGTGGTGCTATAGGATAAGCATCGGACTGCAAGTTTGATTTGATCAAGGGATTGGTGGTTCAAACCCAGCAGCCACTCCTTTGAAATCCTTCACAGACTCACTGTGAGTGGAAACCGACTCAATCCCACTTAACAACAACAATTAACCTTAAGGCTGGTGGTAGGAACCCACCCAGTGGTGCTGTGAAAAACAGGTGTGATGATCTGCTCTATAAAGAATCTAAAAAACCTTATGGAACTCAGTTTGAATCTGTGCCACGTAGTGTTACTATGAGTTAGAATCAGTTCCATGGCAAATGTCTTTTTGGTTTGTTTGAAGTGGTGGAGGATGGGCTAGGTAGCTGAACTGGAGGCAGCTCTGTCCAGAGGCAATAGGGAGCCACAGTAGGTGTGTGAGTGGAGGAGACACCACGATCTAATTCATGGCTTATGAAGCTGGGGCTGGTGGGGGCAGAAATGGAATTGACAGACCTGGCAATGTCGAGAAGGGAGATGGCAGCGCTTGAACCTGGTGGGATTGTCAGTTGGGAGAAGTGGGGTATGTTTTAGAGGCCAAGGAGAGGGGCATGTTGATGGATGAGCTGGGTGCAGGTGGGGATCTGGGAATGTACAGGGCTGGCTGGCATGGTTGTTCAGTTTGCACACTGCATAAGGATGTGGTATGAGGGGGCTGCATTTGAGCCAGCTCTGCACTCAGCAGGCCAGGCACCCTGGCCCTGAATCCCCCAAAGGGAGAGGGCTTTCTGCCAGTGTGCCCAGAGGAATGCTGGACTCCTGGATGCTCCTGAGACCACAGCATAGATTCTGAGGTCATCCAGTCCCTCTATCTGCAGCTTATGGCGGATGCCACAGCCACCTTCCTACAGCTGGCTGACCAGTGTCTGACGGTGGCCTTGGACTGCCAGCAGGCTGTCCAGCAGTTGGAGAAAGTCAAGGGACGAGTACTGAAGGTGAGGCTCACAGGGCACAATGGAGGGGGCCTGGGTGTCACATGAGGGTTGGAGGGCCACTTGGGTATGTCCTACAGAAGTTCCAGTATGATGGCGACGCGATGCAGAGGCGATTCATCCGAGAGTGCCTGGTGCGTGTCTTCCTGCCTTTCGTCCTGGGTCAGCTGGAACCACGCTGCAAACGGGTGAGCTCATGGTGACTGCGGGTGAACTTCAAGTGTGACTGAGCCCAGAGTCCTTGTTCTAGTTATCTAGAGCTCCAGTCATGACATGACCGCATATGACCAGCACACTGGTCAGACAGAGACTAGCAGAACCCCGAGACTATGGCCCTTGGTCCTCCTTTTGGTCTGGAACTGAACTCACCCCTGAGCCTCAATTTTCAGCAATTGTAGATCTATAGTGGGGGCAGCAACACTAGTGAAGTACACATACCATAGAATGGTCAACCAGGACAAAATTCAGAAGGGTGGGAAAGAAGGACTCATGGAAACAAGCAAGACCGGAGGAAGTGGGCTAAGTGATGTTACAGTGAGGAGATTGCAGTCACTGAGAGGAAACAAGGTGTGAGGTTTGTTGAATGTGAAACTGATGAGCTGCTCTGTAATCCTTCACTCAACTCACACAAAAAAAGTGAAACAAACAAACAAACAAACAAAAACTGGTTAGGTTTAAAATATGCCCTATATTGGAGTCCGGGTGTGGCGCTGTGGTTAATGCGCCAGACAGCAAAGCCATTTGAACTGCAAGGTCAGCGGTTCAAGCTCACCATCTGCTCCTTAGAAACCCTATACAGGGTCGCTAGGGGTCGGAATCGACTCGATGGCACTTAACAACATATTTATAGTGGAGTACTGATGTGGTGCTGTGGGTTAATGCGCTGGACTGTGAAGTCTGTTTGAACCTCAAGGTCAGTGGTTCAAGCTCATCAGCTGCTCCTCAGAAACCCGATACAGGGTCGATATGGGTTGGAACCAACCTGATATCACTCAACAACAACAACAACAACATCCATACTATAGCACTGTAGGATAAGCAGTAGACTGTTAACACAAGGTCGGCAGTTCAAATCCACCAGCTGCTCTTGGAAACACTACACTTCAGAACACAACTCAAAGGCACAAAACAACAACAACCCTCACATATGACTTCATTAGCATAACAAAGAACCCTTTTCCCCAAATGGGATTGCGTCCTCAGGTATGTTGTTGGTTATCATAGAGGGCCAGTGTCTGTATGTTGGAGTAGAACTGATTCACAGGAATTCTAATGGTGGTGACCTTTCAGAAGCAGGTCGCCAGGCCTGTCTTCTGAGGCACCTCTGGTTGGGTTTGAACTGCCAACCTTTTGGATAGCACTAAAACCCAAAACCAAACCTTATGCTATCAAGATTTTCCGACTCATAGACACCCTGTAAAGGTTTCCAAGGCATAAATCTTTATGTGAGCAGACAGCCTCATCTTGGTCCCAGGGAGCAGCTGGTGGGTTTGAACTGCCAATCTTGTGCTTAACTTATGGAGCCACCAGGTAGTCAAGAACTAGTTGTTTGTGTTACTGAGGACTCCTTATCCACAGGTATGTTGTTGTTGTTGTTGTTGTTAAGTGCCATCGAGTCAGTTCTGACTCATAGCCACCCGGTATAGGGTTTCCAAGGACGGGCTGGTGAGCTTAAACTGCCAACCTTGTGGTTTAAACAGACCTTGAGGTCCTGAGCTTTATCCCACAGTGCCACACCAGGACTCCTCAGATATAGAAAGTAGGATTTACAACACAGAGTTTTGAAGGACATGATTCAATCCATAATAGAGCATTAGAGATGTGTTCCTTGAGCTCTTGGGCTAGGTCAGGTGGCTTCTCTGGGCTCCCACAATGCCCTCTGCTTCTCCCATGAGCACTCTTGTTGCCCTGCATTTTCCATGTAATGGCTGGGGTGGGGTTCGTCTTTACACCACATGTCATGGGATAACATGGGCTTTAGAGGCAGTCGAAGAGGCAGATGGAGAATGTGTTGGTGAAGAGGGGGTGCTAACTGGTTAGGGAGGGACTCAATGAAAAGATATTGCTTGAGAAGGGACCTGAAGGCATGAGCCACAGTCCAGGAAAGACATTGAGGGAGCAGACATAGCATGTACAAAGGCCCTGAGGCGGGGGGTCCTGCCTGCTGTGTTGGAGGAACTGTGAGCAGGAGGCAAGGTGGCTGGAGCTGAGGGAAGGAGGAAGCAGGAGGATGGGGAGGAGATCACAGGGGTTGGACTGTAGGGACTCAGTGGCATGGAGGGAGGTTTGACTTAGGCATTCACAGTACTCTCTGGACACAGAGGAGGTCACAATAGAGCGCCTATCCAAGTGGGTCCAGCAAGTGGGAATTTGTTTTGTCCCATTCTGACTCATAATGGCTCTGTCTAAGGTTTCTGAGGCTGTAAATCTTTAATGGGAACAGAAAGTCTCATTCTTCCAAGGACCGGCCACTTGACTCAAAAAGCTGACCTTGTGATTCTCAGTCCAGTACTTGCCCTACAGAGCCACCATGCTCCATATATATATATGTGTGTGTGTATAGATTTCTATTTATATATATGATAGATAATTAGAAAGAAGAGAGAGATTTATTTTCAGGAACTGGTTCATGTAATTGTGAGAATTGGCAACTCCGGTTTGTAGGCTAGGTGGCAGGCTGAAAACTCTGGTAGGATTTCTATGGCACAGTCTTGAGACTGAATTCCTTCTATTCAGGAAACATCCATTATGTTCTAAAGGCCTTCCACTGATTGAAACAGACCCACCCACATTCTCAAAGGTTTTCTCCTTAGAATTAACTGATTGTAGGTGTGGAACTGTAGGATCAGCATTGGACTGCTGACCACAAGGTTAGTAGTTCAAACCTACCAGCTGCTCCTTGGAAACCCTATACAGTGTTGGAACTGACTCCACAGCACTTAACAACAATTACATCATATCTGTGGAGTCCTGGTGTGACACTGTAGGAGAAAGCACTGGACCCCAACGTTGGTTTGAACCACAAGGTTGGTGGTTCAAACTCCCCAGCCACTCCTTGGAAACCCTATGCAGGGTTTCTGTGAGTCAGAACCAACTCGACGGCACTTAACAGCAACAACATCATATATCTTTTAAAGATACTTAGACCAGTGTCTGACCTAGCGCCTGGGTGCTACTACAGATTGATACATGAATGAGCCCTCACATCCCGAACAAGCCTATGAAACGTTGATCATGGAGTCCATTTTATATATGAGGAAACCAAGGCTCAGAACCGTTAAGACCATTGTCCTCTGTGCCCAGTGAATCTGGGCAGGGCTGGGCATCAAACCTGTGTCTTGGGCCTCCAGAGCCCTGTCTTCCAGCCCAGCCCTCATCCCTCCATTTCAGGAGCTGCCTGAGGACCAGGGGGACATCCTTGTTGGGTGTGGCCAGGCCCTGACTGTCGATGGCATCTATGAGGATGTTGTTCAAGGGGTCTTGCTGCAAAGAATTGACCAAGGTGAGTTCTGAGGCTCCTGTGGCTAAAGGGAGCCTGGCATCACCCTGGATGTACCTAACCCCATCAGAGTCCTTAACACCTTTCACTTCCTGTTAAGTACTTACTCAGTATTCTTAGCCAACACCATAGTTCAAACACATCAACTCTTCTCCAATCTTCCTTCCCTAGTCATTGTCTAACTTTTGCATGCATATGAGATGATTGAAAGTATCAAAGCTAGGGTCAGGCACACCTTAGTCATCAAAGTGACATCTTTGCTCTTGACCATTTTTAAGAGGTCTTCTGTAGAGATTTGCCCAATGCCATACCTCTTTTCATTTCTTGACTGCTGCCTTCATGAATACTGATTGTATATCCAAGTAAATGTAGTCTTTGACCACTTAAATCTTTTCACTGTTGATCATGTTATCTATTGGTCCACTTGTGAGTTCTGTTTTCTTTACACTGAGGTATAATCCATACTGAAGATTGTAGTCTTTGATCTTCATCTGTAAGGACTTTAAATCCTCTTCACTTCCAGCAAGCAAGGTTGTATTTTCTGCGTACTGAAGTGTGTTACTAGGCATTCCTTTAATTCTGCTGCCACATTGTTCTGAATATAGTCCAGTTTCTCAGATTACTTGTTTAGCATGGTGGTGGTGGTGGTGTGCCATGGAGTTGGTTCTGACCCATAGCAACCCTATATGGGATTTCCAAGGAGCGGCTGGTGGATTTGAACCACCGACCTTGTAGTTCAAACCAACCTTGAGGTCCAGTGCTTTATCCCACAGTGCCACACCAGGACTCAGATACATATTTTTTGGGAGGGGGGGTTATTGTTGTTGTTATGTGCTGTGGAGTTGGCTCCGACTCATAGTGACCCTGTACATGGTTTCTGAGGCTGTAAATCCTTATGGGAGCAGAAAGCCTCATCTTTCTCCTGCAGAACAGCTGGTAGTTTCGAACTGCTGACCGTGAGATTAGCAGCCTGATTCTTAACCACTACGCTACCAGAGCTCCTTGCGGGGGGGTTCAATTTCTTTCTTTTTTTTTTAAGTTTTTATTGTGAATTGAGTGATAGTTTACATGGGAGAACATTGGTTTTGCACTCAACCAATTGTATTTTGTTTCATTGCAATGATTACAATCCCCTCCATTCATCATTGGTTAACAGATTTGCTTCTATTCCCTCCTTTTTCGTTCTTTTTGATGTACACAAAAACGCACAAGAATATGTTGTCGTTAAAAACACCCAAAGGGCACATTCTGCAAACCATCCTCCTGGCCGCCAGCACACAGCCTTTCTCTTTCTATGAGTCTAGAGTCCTCAGCTGCTCAATCTCTCCATGTCGCTGATACATATTTGAGGAGGATGCAATTCAATCTCTGACAGGGTCCCTATGACTCAGAATCAACTCAGTGGCAGTAGGTTTCGAATCTTTACTGACTCTTGCTGTCTGCCCCTAGCGCCGTGTTGGGAGGAGGGGCTGGAGTGTCCAGACTGTGTGAAGAGTGTGGGGATTTACTCTCAAGATTTGCCAGGGTCACAGGTGTGGGGTGAGACTCCAATACTTTGAGCCTTGGTTGAGACTTTTGCGGCCACTTCTGCCGTCTAGTGGCCTCTTTGGGGAAACACATGTATACCTTTTGAAGCCTGGGCTTTGTCAGGTGCATCCAGCGTGGCTTATTTCTTGTTACAGAATTGAAAAAGGTCCTCGGTGCAAGTGATGTGCCCTGCGCTCCGGATGGCTTCTTCGATGCCCCATGGGAACAGGAGGGATCAGGTCAGGGTCCAATGTCCACGGATCATGCCAGTGAATCTCTGGGGGCTGGGGCGTGGTGTAGGTTCAACAATGGGACAGTGTGCCCCTTTTTTCCTCTCCTGGCTGGGCTAGCCAAGTTCATGGCGAATAAGGACAATGGGGAGTCATGGAGCATGTTTGAGCTATGGCCCAGACTCACTGTCATCCAGTTGTTTCCTACTCTTAATGGCCCTATAAGACAGACTAGAACTGCTCTGTAGGAGCAGATGTTGTTGTTGTGAAGTGCTGTCGAGTCGGTTCCGACCCATAGCGACCCTGTACAAGGTTTCTGAGGAGCAACTGGTGAGCTTGAACCACCGACCTTGCAGTTGAAATGGCTTTGCAGTCTGGCGCATGAACCCACAACGCCACACCAGGACTCCATAGGAACAGATAGCCTCATCTTTTCCCCCTCAGAGTAGCTGGTAGTTTCAGACAATCGACCTTGAGGTTAGCAGTCCAACATTTAATCCACTAAACCCAGGTCTAGCGTTCACAGGCTCTCAGTTGTCAGCTGAGATGGTGTTGGATTTGTATCCTGTCTCATCTGGATATAAATGAGACTGGATGGGGCGACTCCCAGCAGCTCCTTCCTGTTCCCAGCACTGGAAAGGAATACAGTAGGGACGGAAACCTTGGATTTGCAGTTGGCAAAAGCTCAGGGATGGGAAAGTCTCACCCTCTTAAAGAGGCTGAGGTAGGCTCCTGGGCTCCTGCTCTGGAGATGGACGGCTGTCCCTGAAACGGGCAGAAAATCACCAGTCCAGCTGGAAGCCGAACCTGTGGGCAGGATGTCAGTAATCTGGTGCTTAGAATCTGGGGCAGAGGCAGGGACTACAGAGGGCTCACAGCTTGGCCCCTGCCTGTCTCCTAGTGCTGTTATATCTGAAATACCAAACATGGGTGGCTTTTAAGAACAGAAATTTATTGTGCTTGTCTTCGCCTGTGAGTGTCTGTTCTTTGTAGCACTCAGAAGTGATTAATGTCTACTCTATACTGGCATGAGCTCAACTGATTGGTTGATTACATTGCATTGTTGTTGCCGACTGCTCCCAATTCAAGGCATCCTGTGCGTGCGCAGTAGAATGAAATACTGCCTGGTTCTGTGCCGTCCCCATAATCGCTTGTGAATTGGGCGATTACGACCCTTAGAGTTTTCATTGGCTGATTTTTAAAAAAATCACCAGGCCTTTCTTCCTAATCCATCTTAGTCTGGAAGTGATGCTGAGACATGTTTTGCATTCTAGCAACACACAAGGCAGGTGGTGGCTGGGCCTGGGGTGCATTGATCTGAAGCAAACCTAGGTCTCTGACATGTTGTTGTTGTTGTTAAGTGCAGTGGAGTCGGTTTCGACCCATAGAGACCCTGAACAGGGTTTCCGAGGCTGTAAATCTTTACGGGAGCAGATCGCCTCATCTTTCTCCCGCGGAGCAGCTGGTAGTTTCGAACTGCTGACCTTCCGGTTCGTAGCCCGATTCGTAACCACTTTCAAGCACTTATTGCATGCCAAATGTTACACATCTGATTTGTATCATCCTCCTTCCATTTTACAGATGAGGAACACTGAGGCTAAGAGAGGAAGGGGAGCTTGCCCCAGGCTGCCAAGATCCAGCACCAGGGTTCAGCCACTCTGTCTTCTGAGAGAACATTCCAGAGCTGAATCTTCATCCACATCCACTCCCATTTCCAGCTGATAAATGTCTGCAAGTGGCATTTCTGGGTCCAAAGCATATGCAACATTTCAAAGCTTTTGAACCGTCCCTTCACCCTCATTTCTTCCACCAGTACATGTGTGAATTTTCTCCATATCCTCTTTAAATACCAGGATTTTGTGTTAAAAGGAAAAACAAACAAACAAAAAACACTCTTTCATAAGAGTCTAGTTGACTCAAGAAAAGTAAAGAAATAAATCTCCAAATTAAAAAAAAAAATTTAATCTCAAAATAAATTTGTTTTGTATTTCTTTGATGACTATGTTTATTAGCCTTTTTGTTGTTATGTACTGCCGTGGAGTCGGTTCTGACTCATAGTGACCCTGCACAGGGTTTCCGAGTCTGTGAATCTTTACCGGAGTAGAAAGCCTCATCTTTCTCCCACAGAACAGCTAGTAGTTTCAAACTGCTGACCTTGAAGTTAGCAGCCCAATCTGTAACCACTACGCTACCAGAGCTCCTTGGCGTTTTAGATATCTTTTTTTTTAGCATCCTAGTATGGCACTATCGGATAGGTACTAGACTGCTAACTGCAAGGCTGGAAGTTCAAACCCACCAGCTGCTTCTTGGAAATCCTGCATAGGGTCATTCTGAGTTGGAGTCCACTTGACAGCACTTAACAACATTAATGTTTGGTATACAGTTTGAAATAGTTACTTCTCAGCTTGCAGTGGACCTTTTGGGTGTATTTCCTTGTTGTATCTTTCAACCTGGAATTGATATTAGATTCCCAGCTGAGAGTTACACTTTACTGACCCCCTCTGTTTGCCAGATAAGCATCTGTTCTCCCAGGTTAGCAGCTTCTCCTCTGTCACAAGCTTTACAGCTGCTTCCGGAGTGTGTTCCGGAGGGATTTCCCCTAATGTTCCTCTAAGCTCAGCTTTCATGGGAGATGGCTTCCTCCCATACTGTTCTGGGGTTTTGGACTTCTTCCAAGGGAACAAGTTTCTTCTGAATTCTCCCTCCCCCTTTCTGAGAGCCTCATCCCACTCGACTTTGTCTTTACCCAAGTTGTTAGCTGTTCTTTCTGGGAATATGGAATTGGTCATCCCTCTCCCTCACCTCCTTTGAGAAGACCAATTTGCCCTTAGTATAAATCATTCTAGTTTTGTTTTCATTGTGTGGGCGTGAAATATAGACACACAGGATGGGGGTGTTGGATGAGGTGGGGCTTTACATTTTTTCTTACTTAATGTGAAAGAGGAGTCCTGGCGCCACACTGTGGGTTGTTAATACGCTGAACTGTAAAGTTGGTTTAAACTGCAAAGTCGGCAGTTCAATCTCCCCAGCCACTCCTTGGAAACCCCATACAGGGTCTCTAGGGGTCAGAATCGACTTGATGGCACTTAACAACAATAGTAACAAATGTAAAAGAACAAGTCCGTGGGTGGTACAAATGGTTAAGAGCTCAGCAACTAATTAAGATCTTGGTGGACAAAACTGGTGATCGGCTTCCAAAAGGTCACAACCTTGAAAACCCTGTGGAGCACAGTTCTACTCTGCACACATGGGGTCGCTATGAGTCAGAATCTACTGGTTGGTTTGTTTGGGTTTTATTATGTAAGGAAGATCTTTACCCCCATAGAGCCATAGAATGTAAGTTTGTTTTTCACTTTCTCTAAGGGGGAGTTTCAAACATACTGGTGTTGGTTTTCCTGGGGCTGACAGAACAAAATGCCACAAAATGATGGCTTTGAAGAACAGAAATGTCTCAGGGCTTTGGAGGCTAGGCATCTGGGTTAGGGCCATGTTCTGTCTCTCTGTCTTTCTCGAGGCAGGTCCTTTCTTGTCACTTTCCATTTTTGTCAGTCTCTAAAGGAGCTCTGGTGTGGCACTGTGCGTTAATGCGCCAGACTGCAAAGTCATTGAAACTGCAGCAGCGGCAGTTCAAGCTCACCAGCTGCTCCTCAGAAACCCTATACAAGGTCGCTATGGGTCAGAACTGACTCGACGGCACTTCACAACAACAACAAATGAGCTCTGATAGCATAGTGGTTATGAATCGGGCTGCCAACTGCAAGATCAGCAGTTCAAAACTACTGGCGATTCTGCGGGAGAAAGATGAGGCATTCTGCTCCCATAAAGATTTACAGCCTCGCAAACCCTGTTCAGTGTCACTATGAAGACTCCACGGTTACTTAACAACAACAACAACAAAGCTCAATTTACAGTTTGTTGTTAAGTGCTGTTGTGGTGGTTCCAATTTATAGTGACCCTACATAGGGGTTCTGAGGAGTTGCTGATGAGTTTGAACTGCCTACTTTGCAGTTCAAACTGACCTTGCAGTCCAGTGCTTATCCTGCAGTGTTATGGACCCTCCTGTGTGTAACTGCTTTTCTTTTATTAGACACCATTGAGAAGGGATTAACATTAGGACCCACCTTACTCCTGTATGATTTTGTTAACAAGGAAAAAGCCAGCAAGGTCACGCTCACCCACGCAGGGGTTAAGAATGCAATGTATCTTTTTGGGAGATACAGTTATATCCATGGAAATAACCAAAGTGGTGGTGGTGTGCCCCGGAATTGGTTCCAACTCATAGTGACCCTGCTGCATAGGGTTTCCAAGGTTGTAAGTCTTTACAGAGCAGAAAGCCTCATCTTTCTCCTACGGAACGGCTGGTAGTTTTGAACTGATGACCTTGAGGTTAGCAACCCATCTCGTAATCACTATGCTACCAGAGCTATTTAATAACCAAAGCTGAGATCCTCTACCTCCAATACTAATTTTTTTTAAGGTTTTTATTGTGGATTGAGTGAAAATTTACAGGGTAGATCATCAGTTTTACATTCAACAAATCATATACCTTGTTTCACTACAATAATTATAATCCCCTCCATGTACCATCAGTTAACAATATTTCTCTCTATTCACTTTAGCTTTTTTTAAAACACTCAGGCATATATAATAATTTAAACCACCAAAGGGCACATTCTGCAACTCTGATTCCTGGCCGCTATTTCTTTGTCCCTCACTTCCCATGAATCTAGAGTCCTCAGCTGCTCCCTGTCTCCATGTCTCCATCTCTGCCTCCATCTCTGGTGTCGCTGCTTCTCTGGATAAGGTCCTACATTCTGCTTGTGCTCTTCTCCCTTGATGGTCCAGGGTCCTTAGTTTCTGGACAGTAAGATTAACTACTTCCAATTTTTTATTACAAAACTTCTACCTTTACAATTGTGATAGTCTCAATTAGTCATAATAACAATTACTCACTATTGAATCATAAGAATCTTATCCCCATCTCTTTTAACCAGACCCATCTAGACAAGATGAAAACTATTCAGTGATGACTCTTTCTTTCCCCACACACTATTAAACGAAGCTCCCTCTTGAAACCTTGGAAGCCAGTCACTCTGTGCCTTTATTGCCCTCTCATTTTAGGTAGCCAATGTCTAAGTTGCCCATCCCTTATCCAGATCAGCTGGATGCTTCACTCTCAGCTCTAGCCCTCTGTGGCTATGTCCTTGTCCACAGGCTCAGGTGTCCCCAGGTCTCACCATATTTTGGATCAACCAGCCCTTCTTCTCTCTCTCATCTCCAGGTCCCCAGGAGTCTGTGAAACGTGGTTGAACTCAGCCCATTTCTTCATTGCTGCCTTTCCCCCTCTTCTACACCAGTAGACAATGTGGTCGCCAGTAAGCTTACATGCCTGCTCATGTGTTCCCTTTGAGATTCGGTCTTAGAGGGGCATTTGTCCTAAAGGAACCCAATTGCTTGCCTTGATGGCTTCCTGGAAAACAACTTGCTTATTATAGTAGCCAGTCATGCGGACATTTTTGTTTTATGTTTTTCCTGATGATTTTTCTTTGAAGATGTATCTTCTGTTGCTCTAGCTGTTCCAAGCCGGTCTGCTTGTCCTTTCTAGTGGGAATGCCCCACCTCAGAAGGTTCTGGATAGGGCTCAGGATTCCACCTAAGGTTTTATACACTGCAAAGGCCCCACAGGAGGCCTATTTCACTGGACAAGTTCTAGAATCTCCTTTTAGATATTCTAATCAGTTATAGGCTGAAAATGGGCTTACAAGCTTTCTGTAATCATGTTTCCTGACATTCCTTTCTATCCAACTCAATTTTCAATTTTACAATAGTAGGAAAGGGAAACCAATATACATAAGGCAGTCAAGCATCTTAGTATTATTTCCCCTCTTCAAACTGTGCCTTGATCCCTGTATCACAGAGCCCTGTTGTTCCAAGGTTGAGTATGCATCACTATTTACCTCGGTCCCATTTAGCCCAGGCAAACCTGTCTCAGTGTTCCCCTATCTACCTTGTTCTTCCACCCCCTTTCCACTTCTTGTGTACTGCCCTCCCCAACACCTAAACTATGATGTGTCTGCCCCCTTCCCTGTGCTCTATGGTCGCCTCCCTTCACCTCCTCCAAGCCCCCCTACTCCAACTCCACCGCTAACCAACAAAGACATTTTTTTTTTTTTCCATTTTAGTATAGGTATCTTTTCTAAAGCTTTTGCAATAATGGTCTTATGCAATATTTGTCCTTTTGTGACTAAGTTCACTCAGCATAA